CCATCCCGGCGATCGTCTAAATGTCAGTGTTTTCCGGGGCTCCTAATGCGTTCCTAAAATAGCATCGCCATCGCTGAGTCTCCGTGGAAAAAGACGCGCTCCAGAAAAAGGCACGGTGAGTCTGACTCACAGCAGAGGCAGCAGAAACACCATGCCATCCCAAAGCCAATTAAACATGCATGGGGGTGTGTGTGACCTCAAAAAAAATTCGATGGATGGCCAGTCTTTTCCCCCGTCTTTCCCACTCTGCACCTCACCCGTCTGTCACTCTTCTTCTACAGCCCTCTTTTAGCCAATTAGAGTGAATTATTCAGGGTTTCCTGCATGTACCTGTTGAGTGTTTTTTTCTCTCTCCAATGAGCACTCTAAATTGAGGTGAGGAGCCGATGAGGCTTTGCAGACATGGCTGTGCGTGCACACACATACAGCGGAGGGACCACTGTCCATTCTGATGTGTCTCCTGAGGTCAGGGCAAGGCTAGAAGCTAATGTGATGGCCTGGAGAAATACTAATTAGCTTTCTCTCACAGCGAGCCTCGAATCAACTAAGCAACGGCCGGATGACGATGGATGGATTTCCCGGACGGTACAATTAAAATCCTGTAATTTGACACAATATATAAATTCCAATGACAGGAATTCGAGAATGTGAGTTCATGTGTTCCATTCCATTGTCTACCTAAACTGGAGCGCCAGAACAGGAGACATGCCTCTTGTGCTTTATAATGCCTAACAGTGCAGAAGAAGGAAATGGGATGGAAATCTTGAAATGTCATACTGTATATGGATGGGCTGATTTTCCGCATTTAATCAAATTCAAACTCGGCCTTAAATGTCATAGTTGCCTTAATTAACGGAGACCACAATGTAATATCCATTTTACAATGGGGGCTGCTTGATGCCGTGCCATTCATTCGCATTCATTGCCGACGCCGGATTCCACTTGAGCGGCAGGTTGCATTTGCATTTTTGGGGCCGAGTCACCGGGAGAGAGGAGCGAGCACACTGAACAGCTTGGGAGCCAATTAATAAACCTTTGCTGACACAAACAAAATGAAAACTTGAGTATGATATGGGCAGCCTCTCATCGCAAGCCGTGAAATAGCCACGAAAATGCAATCTATTGGTTTCGTGGACATGTGTCGCTCAGGACGAAAATAATGCCAATGGAAACTCAATTAGGATTCCTTTTTTCTTGGCGGACACACAAATTAAATGCGTCCACGTGACTAAGCAACAGACAGAGCAAGTGAGTATCCAAAAAGGCCGCTTATGGTGGGCGGGAGGGGAGGTAACACAGGACTTTCAACCACGAGAACGGTGTTTGACACCTCGTTGAGGTTTCTATTTCTCAGCCTCAGCTAAAAGAACTGCGAGAACTTTGAACATTCCTCTCAGGATTATTTTCAGCGACGAGCGGCTTTCCAGGAAGAATTCGCTGCTGTGCGCTCTTTGCTCTGTTTGGCGTTTAGTAGTCCCTGCATTGTAGGTGCCACATTTAGATTCCCCCAGCTTGCCACAGTCATTAATTAATCATACACAATAAACAGATTGATCCCCCCTTTAATTCACGGCCCCTGCTCGTCCTTGCAGCAGTCTCCTGCCTCTTGGTTCATGAGCCGAGTCTGAGAGACGTGTCACCTTGTAAGACACACTGAATGCCTTCCCTTGAAGGGAGGGAAACAGAGAGAGCGGGAAGATAACACAGCCAGGCAGCACTAACCGATCAGAGCACTCCAGCAGAGATATGACCCACATAGACCGACGCTGGTTCAATCAGCCTGCTACTGGCAGCGTGGCGGGGAAAGGGAGAGAGCGGGAGTGAAGGAGGGACAGGGGGAGTGTCAGGTGGCTCCAGTTAGTTTTAAAGTAAATCCAGCGTGTACTATGAAGAAAAGACCAATGTGCAAACATGCACGCAGGACTCCATTATTTACAAATCTGCTACTACATACACACTCTTAAGTCCATTTTCTTTGTGCGATTCATTGGCTCGTCAGTATACTTTTTCAAAACTGTTGTTTTTCCCATGAATACTTTCACACAGAATGTGAATATAGCACTGTGAAAAAGTGGAACATGGACGATTTTTCTGAGCATTCGCGCTGCACATATAGGCATCAACCAATCACATTGTGGAACGGGTTGAGTTGCGCCTCCGTTTATGGAACAAACAACACGGAGACTCTGTACTCCGAACCAAGACGACAAACTTTATCACGCCTTTCAACCTCAACAAAGGCAGCGCATACCAGATCCACTCCCTCCGTTCCTTCCTTTCACAATAACATCATCACGCGCCCCTATGTGCAAAGGCCACACACAAGTACTGCTGCTAAAACCAAATGCGTCGGGCGCTACCAAGGTGTTGCCAATCTCGCTAGGCCCTACGACCAAATGAAAGGAGCGCAAAGGCTGCTCGGTCCTCCTCTCAAGAGGAAAAAACGAAAGGAAAGGGTAACCCCGGTGGGATTTACCACAGTCCACCTAGGGAATCATTAAGAGTGGTTATTGCTGGGCAACGCCAAGCCCCTGCTCCCTAAAGGAGGTTCCTACTGCCACAGTACACTAAGCAGGTAGTTCTGTGTAAATGTTGAGTCGACAGACCGAGTAGAACAGGCACGTGTCTCAGCAAGAGTGGACCTAGACGCCACAATGCCCATGATGCCAGGGGCCTGAATGAGCCTGAACAATTCATGGATGATAAAAAAGAGAGAGCTGTTTTGTAGCATCCAGTGGGGGGGGGGGGGGGGGATAGGCTTGAAAGAGACAAATGAAATGGTCTGATTTCTGGTGGGCTTGTCTTTCATGTACAAGCACACACTTTTAGAGTGCTGGCAGGACTGACTGCAGGATTTTATTGCAGGACCACACCCTGCACTTTTAGACAGAAGCCTGCACTGCCTACATTTTTGGAACACTCCAGCAACAGCAAGAGAGCTGCCTCATAGAAGTGGATATTTTGCAATTCTTGCAATTTTATTTTCATCCAGCATTTGCTTGAGAGTAGAATGGGACAGAGTCTAGGAACCCTTGAAAAAAAAGCAGGATCACCAGCCAGTTCTCATTCCCAGGGCGACAAACACAGATGCTTTGTCAGGCCCCCTCGCGTCTGATATCGATGCACAAGGCACCCTGTAGCGTCATTTTTCAGTTAAGTTTGTGATGTTTGTGACAATGTTTCTGTAATTATATTACGTTGTTTACGTTTTACTTAGTTTACATACTTATTTTATTTTATTCACAGCGTTAACCACGTGTTTACTGCTGTGAGTCTGTACGGAGCATGGTTCCGTATATATGTCGAACAACGGCATAGTCAATAGCCCACCTCCTCTCGAGGGAGGAAGGAAAGGACATGCGTGTAACCGCGACTGAGGCCGTGTCTTCCTTTCCAAGGTGGCTTGTTCCCGAGAGAGGAGGACGGCTGACCATCAGTCTGTCCTCTGGATTATTGGATTGTCCCTGCACATGGACCACCCTCGGAGGTACAAAGCGATCTTTGGGCCATTTTGCAGAAGCTTGGGGAGGGAACCTAACCTACCTTGCCTGTTGATGTTGCTGCAATCGTGCCTTCCAGACACAGAGGGAAATGGCAGAGGACTCGCTGTATTGTCCTCATCTCCAGCAGAACTTCCTTTTAGACTACACAATCTCGTCCCTGGGGCACGACAACCAGTGGGTTCGTCATGGTCATCTGTCTTATAATGTAAACATATTATATACCAAACCAAGAGCACAGCTGCTGATGTGACATGTTTCTGTACTATCCAGCAGGCTAAACTAGAACGCTATACCTTTCCTGACTTTCTTTATCTTGAGGTGACTGGAAAAGTAGACACCTGTACCATAACATACGCAATGTACAGACGAACAAACTGAATCTTGTGTTGTGATACGCCTTCTTTTCATCTAGTATCCTACTGTTGTGGCATCGAGGTATACATTACATTCTGCAACGCACATTGCTTCAGATGAAAGATGTTACAGCAGGTTTTTGACCTCTGACACAAACATACGCCCATTACCACAACCTACTCTCAACCTGACCAATGAAGGTTGGGCACACCGGGGCTTTTATGTTGTGCATAGCCTCTTCACAGGTGGTTCGTGTGAAAGTAATTACACTCATCAACAGATCCTTGGGAGTCAGACTGCCATACATATGCAATATGTAAATGGCTTGGAGAGTTAGTCTTAAGGGGATAGTTCACGGCAAAATCAAAGATGAACATTTTCTTACCTGTAATGCTATTTGTCAGTCCACATTGTTTTGGTGCGAGTTGCCTAGTTTAGCAGATATCGGCCGTAGAGACGTCTGCCTTCTCTCCAATAAAATGGGACTAGATGGCACTCGGCTTGTGGTGCACAAAGCAGATGGAAAAATACATTTCAATAACTCAACAGCAATGTTTCGTTTCAGAAATCATGACGCAGTTACTCAAGATAACCCACAGACCGGGATGTTTCATGTAGGAACTATTTTCTCTCAACCATAGTTCCCTGGCGCTTTGAGCACCGCATGCTGAGTGCCATATAGTGCCATTACATTTGAGAGAAGACAGACATCTCTACGGCCGATATCTCCCGAACTAGGCGACTCACACCAAAACAATCTGGACTGATAAATAGCACTACAGTTAGAAGGAACAATGTGTTTTTGATTTGTTGGTGAACTGTCCCTTTAATGCGATGGAGAACTGTGGCATATGTGCCAGACAGTCAAAGTTCTTCCAAAAAGACTTAATATTAATCTATACACGTTTGCCATCCCATACAGCAACAGGAGTCTGCTACATTTCTGTTTCATTCTGGGATAAATATTCTGTAAAAAACATTCAAAGTGTCAACACACCAACGTTGCCTCATCTTCCGAAATGCCGCCAGTAGAAATGATTATCTGAAGTGAAAACACAGTTGGGTTGAACTCAATGTTTGAATGTTTGCATTCGATTTCAACGTAATGACTGATAACACTCAAGAGGCGGGAAAACTGCAAAGCTATGTCAGTAATTTATTTGTTGGCAAACAACTTTCACTGTTACAACAAATATTAGTTATGAGATCATTCAACTTGGAACCCATACAAAAAGAATAAATAATTAGCAATAATATTGTAATTATAATCATGATCATAATAATTTAAAAAAAAAAGAGCCATAAAACAAACCCAGTGCCCTTTTATTTACTCCTGCCTAAAGCCAGCGTTCTCTCCTCCAAGCCTGTTTTGCCGCCTTCAAACCAATAAACAGATAAATAAATAATTTCTCTCGGGGACATGGAGGGGGGCTTGTGGGATACATGTGCAAGCTACACTTCATACACTTATGATTTTTTTTTTCTTCTTCTCCTAAATAAGTAAACATTGGCTTTCCACATTGGACAGTGCTACCGTGTGCAGAGTTTTCACATCTTCAGGTCACATATATACGGTGTATTTATGGCATTCTTTCAAATAGCGGACATTTTCTTCCTTTTTAGTTTAAGAGAATGACATTTCATTATCCTCAGCATTCTTCTTCTATACAAGCTCAACCAGCACAGCAAGGTAATATCAATTGGTAGAACATTTGGCAATAGAGAGGGTATGCTTCATAAACCATTCTTGCGTTGCTCCAAATATCTGCTATCTCTGTAAAACAACAAAAAAACAAAACTTCACCCAGGCTTGTGCCTAAAGGAAGGAAACGCTTTATTCAAGAACAAATGAGATGAGACCCACTTCCAGCAAAGACTAAATGGCAGCATTTCCATAGCAACCGCCTCTTTCATAATTTAGCCACTTCATTGCCTCTTTAGTTTTCCATCTACACAGTGGTAAAGCATATGATAACAGCTGATTTGCAAAAATGTAAGTGACAGTGGTGTGGCTATAAAAGGACCAGAATGAAGTGGGCGTGGGATATATGCATATTAATTAAGGAGTGCTTAACTGTCTCTGCGTTTACCGAAAGGAACGACAAAGACAAATTGTTCCTCGCTCGTTCTGCCATCTACACGTGACCAGAACTCCTCGTGACGTTTCAGAACAGCTCCGCGGACAAAAGGTTTGCAACTTAAAAAGAAGTTCAAAAAAATAAAAGACTTGGTCATACGCAACATTTGTATCTGTATCTGTATTCTGTACAATACATAGAAACAGTTTGTGAATTCTTTATAATCCTTTGATAACTGAAAACTTTTACAGAAGAAAGGAGAAGAAACAGAACCCATTCTTTTTTCCTTTTTTTTTTTTTTTTTTCAATTCAGTCTGTTGTAATATGATCTTCCTTCCTTGTTTTTCACGACAACTTGCAGGAATGTTACACCAGCCCAGACACAACTCCAGTTTAGCAGATACGAAAGTGAAGGGGAATTCAGAACATCGGCGTGATATGGTTACAGTTCGGTTGCCCAATAAAATAGTTCTTTGGATGATCGGTCGTGAGGGCATATATCGTACATCCTCCACTTGATTGGCAGGTAGTGGGGCGGGGCCTCTTCAAGGCCAGTTTATGTCGCGGACACCGGAGTTCAATACCCTGCTCTGAGGTGGAAACATCATCCCAGCACGTGTCTTTAAGAGTGAGACGGAGTGACAGACGAACAGACAGGCAGCTCCTTTTTAAACCAGGGCTGGGGGGCCACGCCCCCCCCCCCCCCCCCCCGTTGTGGTGGTAGTGGAGACTATACGCTATGATCTGCTAGAGGTCCATATTGGGGAACTTGTAGGGCTACGGTCAATCCAAGATTCCATATCAAAGTAACAGGTAGGGTGAAATTACAGAATCCCTCCCCCTTCCTCTCCTTTCCAGGGTTTAAAGTTCCGTTTCTGTTTGATGTTCCCTAAAAAGTCTCTCAGAACCGACCTTTCGCTCGGCACCATTTGTGACAATACATTCAGTCCCCGCTTTCATCAGACCGGTGAATTCCCAACCCTATTGTCATGAGCCACAGTTAATGTCACACACAGTATATCGATCCAGGTGCGGGCCAGCTCAGTCTGTCGGTCAACAACACAGAATGTTTTTCGTTGGAAGATTGGAAGTGTGAGAATGGGCTGGGGAGGGATAGGAGTCTCTCGGTCGGCTCTATAGACTGGTGACCAGGTGGGAAGGGTCTATTGGCGGCTCCTCGGGCGACGAGTCGGACTCGTCCTTGCTGCCGGACACCATGTAGCCATCGCTGCCACCGCGGCCCATGTGGTAGTAGCTCTGCAGGTCGTGGAGGTGATTCCTGGAGCCCAGGTTTGGCATGCTCTTGTAATAGACGTCGTCCAGCTCTGGAGCGGTGGCGCTCTTACAGGGCTGCAGCTCGCCGGAGCTGTCCTCCTCTCCGTCCGTTAAGCCGTTCACTTGCCCGTCCGGAAGTTCCGTCAGCACCGGCATGCTGGTGTACAGCGAGTCTCTGTGGTTGGGCGAATGCGTGTGCTCGTCGGTGTGCTCGTTGGTCAGCAGGGGGAAGAAGCTCTCGCTGGTCTCTTGGGGAATGCGCCGCGGCCGGGAGAAGCTGTGCGGCGGTGGCGGAGGCGGCGGGTGGCTGTCGGGCGGAGGGGGCCGCGGCGGCAGGAGCGGGGCGTTGGACTCCTCCCTGATGATCTCCAAACCCAGGTTCTCCTCGTGGGGGAAGGCTGCGGGGTTGTCCAGCACCATTGGCCCGTTGTCCTCTTTACCGCTGCCCACGCACCCACTAACTCCACTGCTGCTGCTGCTGCTGCTACCTCCCGCCATGCTCCCTGAAAATGAACCAGGCAGGAAAAACAGTTACAGCATGTTTCAACAAGGAGTAGTGCTATGGCTGGTACGGTGACATTGGGATGAATTCAGCACTTCACAGTAGAGATCTCAGTGTTAAAAAAGACTCAAATAGCTCAAACGGACATTGTTATACTAAAAGCGGATACAATGTGTAATGTGAAATGGGTTGCTCGTACGAACCCACAGAAAATCGTTTTGGCTGAGCTCACCGCTCTCTTTACGTTTTTTTTTAAACTTTTTGCTGTTTTGTTTTTAAGTCTGTAATTTGTGCTTTTATGCCTGAAACTTTAATGCTTGGATTTTAATTCTCAGTGGGACTATCCCGGATAAGTAAGAGTTAAATAAAAATACATTTAAAAATACAATAAAGTTAAAAGGTAATGATTTGTTAGTATTGTGTTTACAGGGTGTTTCAGCGGCCCCCAAGTGTCCCAAACAAATCTGGTAATGCAGGTTTAAAGCCACTGACCACCCACACAGGTATCTTCACCTGCACTGGCTGAGTAGACCAGTCATGTTGCTTAGTTCAAAGCTTCAACAACATGTTTTGCAACCCATGTATGTATCAATAGTACGACTGTATTTGTATGCCAGCAAAACGCATATGAAGCAAAGTTTCTCGCCTTCTCCCGGTTTGGACAATGTTGAGGCACAAAGGTGTTTCAGGCACCCTACTTAGATGTGGACTTTACAAAGAGGTCTCCCCGTCTAAACCTGAAACAACTGAAACCAAAGCAGTCACCTCCGTTGGCCATGCTGCTGTTCACCAGCTTGTTCATCAGGTTGTGGTTGCGCTCGGTGGTGGCCCTCTCGTGGTTGTTGAGGTAGGACGGGATGTAATTGGAGGTCAGCTCCTTGAGGATCTTCTTCTCCAGGGTGGTCTCCTTGTGGTTGCTGTGGGTGCCGTAGCCGCCGCTACGGTCCAGAATCTGGACGCAGTCGCTCAAGTACTCGCTGCTGGCCATGCTGTAGTTGTTGGCGTTGTTGCCATTGAGAGGGAGTGTATCCATCACGCTGGAGTCTCTCGCGTTGTTCAGGATACCCTCTGAGGAACAAATAATCATTTAAAAAAAAAAAGTTATTTGTTAAGATTAATTATTAGGATTTCTTAAATAAACTAATTGGAATCCTCAGAAGAGTAGATTTTAATTATTGTTTGATATCATAGCGTGTGCTGTGAACTGAGGATTAAAAAGTAGCAATGATAATTTTCTTGGAGGGAGAAGTGCTCCGAGCGTCCGTAATTCATTCATGAGAAGCCTCAGAAGTACTTTTTATTTTCTCAATTACTGCCAGCACGACAGCGACACGCACACAAAGAGCTCGAATTTCACTGCAAAAATAAGTATGTTCTGGAGTGACATTTAAAGTGATTACATTGTCAGTAATTTTGAGGGCAAACCTATTCCATCTCAGTTCTAACAATTTGCACATTTGATTAACAATATTTAAATTAAATGAGATTCAATTGTAATGCTTCGTTTTCTTTTAAAATACTATGCTCAAGAAAATTGCATATCCTAGAAAAGAAATCGGTGACAAATCGAATAAGACAGCCGTGTCACATGCGGAGGAGGTCGATGCTATTGAAGCAGTAGTATAAAATCTAGCCCATACTTGTGTCTCGGTACGGTGCTAATGGGCAGCATGAGGGAGAAGAGAGAAAACAAACAGACGTGAGTTCAAACGCGGAGAGAGACAACTTTCAGCAGCAACAGAATCAACAGTTGGACGGTAATTGGAAGGCCCGATGGAAAATGTCTTCACAAAGAAACCCTGTCTGGTAATCAATATCAAAGTCTGCTTCCCGAGGCCTCGTTGGTAACTTGTTATTACGTGGTTCATTAGTTATTTAATACAGAGAAAACATAAAAAATACACTTGAAACATAGAGTAGACGTGCACTAAGCCAAGCAATGCAAGTCCCAACCGACGCACAGAAAATTACATTTCGAAAAAACTAAGCACATGCTGCATGAAAGTGAAAATAATACAAAACACATCATGGCTCCCAAGTAGCTTATAAAACGGCAACATGCGGCGTGCATAGCGCACAATAAATCAGCACGTTATGCTGTTTTGATAAATCGTTGGCGGCATTTCTTTTTTTCCCGTCTCCACCTTGGTGCGCTGTGACAGCCGCCCCGGTGGGTGTCCTTTGTGCGAGATTGTTGCAGCGTGATTGATCGCCTCCACTCGGGAGCCACAATAAGGCGATATCAGATAGGTGGCCAAAAGTGTATCACAGTAGCACAGTGTTTAAAATGACATAACCATGCAAAAGCAATGTAGTGCAAAAAAAAAAGATGTATGTTTATAGTAGGAACATCAGGCACACCTTGGGTGTTGTACATGCCCACGGCTGGGTTGTTATAGACTGCCGAGTCCCCCAGGAGAGTGTTATAAGGATTGTTAGTACCATGGGGACGAAGGAGAGCATTAGTTATAAGATGATTAGCCATGGCTCCTGGTACAGGCAGATAGAGAAAAGGGAGAGGAGGAAGAGCAACAGCCGGAGTGGAGAGAGGAGGAAGAGAGAGAGAGAGAGAGGGAGAGAGAGAAGCACTCGAGGAAAAGAACAAAAAACAAAAAAACAGAAAAAAAGGGGCAGAGTGGAGAGGTTGAAGGAGAGAGCACGTAGACGTTGGGGAGAGAAAGAGGTAGAGTGAGATGGAAAGGTGAGTGTGTGGAAGAAGGAGGGAGAGAAGAGGACAAGTAAATCAAACAAGCAAACAGTTTTGAGTGTGAAAGCCAAGAAAAAGCTTGACATGTCGTTCTCGCAGCCGCCGCATACAGGCTGAGGGAGGGGAGAGAGAGGGAGAGAGAGAGAGAGAGAGAGAGAGTGAGAGTGAGAGAGAGAGAGTAGCGTGGCTTGGAGAAGACTGTGCTGCAGTTCAATACGCTTGAGCAGAGCAGCAGCATGACTACAGGATAGTTAATGGACAGTGAGGCCACAGAAAAATGGCCTCGGTGCATTTCCTTCCCCAGGTGGGAGACAGATCATGTACACATGACGACGCTGCAGACGAGCAGAAGACAAATGGCCGTGACAGCATCCATCCCAGTGTTGCGTCAAACAACCCGCTACCTCTACCGCCACTACTAAGTGTGCATGTATGTCATACGGCATCCAAACGTCTCTCTGGTGCCTTTTTTTGTTTTTGCTAGGAGGCAGAGTGTCGAGGTGTTTAGCAAAAACAAAAATGCCACAACATTTAAGTTGTCTGACTCCTTAATGTAATGTTTTAGGATACCACAGTTTAGTTCATATTTGTAGGAATTCATGACTATTTCGGAAACGAGAAGTCGGCCAGCAGCCCTGAGCTTGGCCGACGAAATAGAGAATAAATTAGAAAGGCTGAAGAAAGTGCCGTCAGACTTGATTATCTGGTTAAAAAATTAAATAAAATAAAAAAATAGATAAATAAATAGATAAATTAATAGATAAATAAAAAGTAAAATAATAAATAGATAAATAAATAGAAAAATAGATAAATAAAGAAATTAATAAACAAATACATATGTGAATAGATAAATATAAATGTACTTATATACTTTATATATACGGTACTAATTTGCACCCCCACACAACAAAAAAGAGACAAAAGTAATACTATATATTATGTCTTCAAACTGAACTTTAAAGTTGAAACGAACACATTTTACTCTCTCCCAATTTCAACAAGTCAATCTGCTATCAGCACATCCAATTCATTATATCCCATCCTTATTCACTACGAAGCCGTAGTACATAGCCATTCGAAATCTACTGGCTAAGTGGCTCTCTGCACCATACTTTAAAGTGTGAGGGGGGGGGTCTTAAGCCCTGCCTTGCTAAGTGTGTGATAATTCAGGCGCTGACACACACCGTGTCTGCTCGGGCATCAATCTGTCATGCTAACAGCTTATTAGTGGCCCGAAGGAAGCGAGGGCCACACCTCGACTTGGAGACTAACAAATGGCAGTGTGTGCTTGTGTGTGTGTGTGTGTCAAAAATGTCTAGGTGTCTATGTCCTCGTTACCCTCGCCCCCAGACAGCCATGCTGATGGAATCCATTCTTACAGCGACATTCTCTTGAGGGGCAGCTCAGAATACAGTAGAAATACAGCAAGCTGAGCCTAATGCACACTTAAAAAGCTCTGCGACTAACAGCAGCCTTCCGATGATGAGATGGACATTTCTGGCACTGTGGTGAAAACAGTACATTTGAGAATCGGCAACCTGAAGCGACATGTTTGGCTAATAATAAAGCATGATTTCTAAAAACCTAAAAGTATAATAATAAAAGGGACTAGACTGATGTAAGGCTCGAGACTCGCACACATACATAACGAATTATCACGGACAAATGCTTCAAAAGATGACCCCTAACTTCGGAAAAAGTCAACCTTTGATGCATGCAGCACAAAAAACATAAAGCACTGAGTCTGTTCTGCTAATCTTCCTCTCTACAAGAAAACAGTAACATTATCAGGAGCTTAGCGCTTCTATCACTTTACTAAATGACAGTGCTGCAGGAGCATCCCCCACTATTAAATAAAGTAGATATGGTGACAGTGATGAGGATGCGAATGCTGCGGTATCCCGCGGTTACCTCTGTTGAGCGTGGCGGAGCTGTTGATGTCTCCGGTGATGAAGGAGGACTCCTGTTTCCTCACGGTGTCGTTCCACATCCGCCTGATGCGACTCTATAGGCGGGAGAAAGGAAGCGAGAGGGGGAAAAAGGGAAGGAGTGGACAAAGACAGAGAGGAGTAGCAATGATGAGAGGGAGAAGGAGGTAAAAACAAAGGAAGAAGCGGGAGGGAAAGTCAGGAGAGGGAGGACGCGGCGACGAAACATGGTAAGAAACGTAATATATGAAGGTGTGATGTGCAAAAGGAGGGCAGGTTAGTGCGGGAGAGGCAGTGAGGGAGAAAGCAAAGAGACGGCCAGCAAGAGAGAAACAGGTGGAGGGGGGGGAATAATCACCCGTCAATGCGACTTATACTCCATCTGTCAGCATCAATATGTGAAGGTCTAAGTCAGGGTTTGGGCGATCTCACTTTCCACATTTTTTAAAGGAACAGTGTGTAACACTTAATTAATTGGCAGAAATGGAATATAATATCCACATATATATACACTGATACAACTATGTTGTATCAGTGTATAATCACCTGCAACTAAGAATTGGTAGTGTTTCAGTTAGCTTAGAAAAAGGCATTTACAGTATATCTACACAGGGAGCGGGTCGTCATTCCACGGAGTCCGCCATCTTGCACCGCCATGTTGGCCTTCCGCGTTTTAGGTTATCTGAAGGTTAGGGATGCGTTCTGAACCCGGTACTAAACAAACCCCCGGGCTAAATTATTAAAGACCGGGGGTATTGATAAGCCCCGACGTTACTGGGGCTTTTTATTAGTACTTTTTAAATGCTTAGGCGTCATTTATTATCATGCTGCAGCACACACCTGCTCTGCTCTCTTTGTCGGGCTGATCTCCTCCAACTACACACACACACACACACACACACACACACACACACACACACACACACACACACACGTAGCGCGAGTAGAGAGGCCACTGTGGCGAGGTGGACCAGGTGACGTGAAGGATACTCGAGTGGACGGCAACCACCCTTGTTACTGTACCTGCGATAAAATATTTGGACGGGGACGGGGGGGCTGAGGCTCATGTTGTTGCTTACTACAACCTCACCACTAGATGCCACTAAATATTACACACTGTTCCTTTAAACTGTTTTTGTCCCCCCCCCCCCATGGCGCTCTCCGGCCTCACCTGAGAGTCTGCTGTGCTGTAGCGTCCAGGTGTGCAGGCAGGTAAGCTCACCTGTGAGCCCGTGGAGTAGCGGCCCGGCGTCCGCGACGTGGTGGTCTTGCTGGAGGAGGAGATGGACGTCTCCACGCTCTTGCCGCTGCAGCAGTGGGTGCGCAGGCATTTGCCGTACTCTTTGCGCACCTAAGCAGCGGAAGGTGAGAGGTGGAGAGAGTTACGGGCTGACACACAACACATATATATATATATATATGCGTATATTTAAAAAGCACAGGAATTGACTTATGTTCCACTTTAAACTCGCATATTTCTAAGATGACGCACCAGAAAAGTCTGGAACGGCTTTAACATGATATGGCGACCCCCTTTAACTTCTTGCACTCAAATTCCTTGCGCAAACATTTACTCCATAAAAGAAAATGTGGACATTAACAGATTAACTTCATACCCCCCCCCTACAGACACACATCAACATCAACCCCAAATGTTATTACTGCCACAAATCCATCTGAAAGGGACTCCCCCCCCCCCCCCCCCCCTTGAGGGAGACACCTGATGCGGCGCGTACACACTGAACATCTGCATTTAGATCCCAATCAAGTTTCGAACAAACAGGGCCGTGATTGCTTTTTAACAAGCTCGTTGGACTGGCGGGGCGGGCGGCCGTCTGTTTGCCGCGCACTCTGTTTGAACAGCTGTGTAGTGAGCTGCTCCATGCGTCTTGGGAGAAAACGGTGTTGGATGGCGGCCAAAGAAAACCTCAGCACTGTTCTGAGGACATCTCTCAGGACACCTGATTCCATGGCCTAACACACACTTAAGTGCACTGCACACACATACACACACACACACACACACACACACACACACACACAAAGTGCACTTGTTTACTGGTTGTACACTTAAGAATAAAAACTCTCTGCGGGGCTGCAGCCAGACGAGAGCATTAAGCATCTGATGAATTTTCTTTCCATGTCCTACTCCTCTTCCGTGCTCCCCGGCCCTGACAGTGTGTGGGAGACTCCCAAAAATATCTCAGGATGTGTAGGCTCTCTTCAACTCCTTGAGGGCAACCAAACGCTGAACATATATAAAGGAGATCATCTTTTTCGGAAACGAGAGGGGGCATCTCGAGGGGGGAGCTGTGCGTCAATGTGAGTGGGGTTAAAACAGAAAGGAGGAGTGTGTATGCAGACACATGTTTTTCTCCGTCTGTGTGGAAGATTTGAACAAGCTATATGCGACGGCCGAAAACTCTGAATTTCTCAAAACTAAAATCATGAATTATACTCTGGATATTCTCTGAGATGGCAAGTGCCAAATGTACGAGGAAAAACTCACAAATTTGCGAGATTATGAAGTCGCAAATTTATGAGGAAAACAAACTCGGTGCGCAAAATCTCCGTCGCTTCCTTTTGCAAAGTTGAATCCACCTCGTCCAACCACAGATCCCACCGCGGCAACGTGACTTTCCATCTGTCCAGGTCAGGTCACAGGAGCAGCAGGCTATTCCCTCTCTTTCCAGAAAACTCTAAGAAAATATTTGACCAAAATCTGTGCTTCACAACACAAGCAGTGATTTTTATAATCCTGCAATTTTTGGGGGGATTTTTCTCGCAAATTTGCCACTTTAATCTTGGAAATTCGGAGTCTTTTTCTCAGAATATTATCCCGTTCCCTTGGCTCTGTAATTATTATTGAATTTTCTGTTGGGGGGAAGACAGAAACACTGTTTGTTACCTGCTACCAAGAGGCCAGACAGACTGTTAAAGAGAGAGATAAAGAGAGGTAGTCGGTGTGAAAATGAGAGAGAACTAAGCAGCCTGTTGGGGGGATACCGAGCGTCCGATCACAACTGTGACAGCTCGGCGGGTGTTTTTCGATGCTATAAAGTGCTTCTGGGCAGCTTCGTCTCGCTCACCTTCTTCTGCAGTATGCAGTGAAAGATGAAGATGAACATGCCCTGCAGGGAGTTGAAGATGGTGAAGAGGTAGGCCATGATGACGGTGCTCTCGTTGATGTACATCAGGCCGAAGGCCCAGGTCAGGCCCAGCAGACACAGCAGGGCTATGGCCCCGATCACCCAGGACCTGGAAGAAGAGGGGACACGACTTTAGACAGAGAAATCCGTTAAAAATGTCATTCAATGTGCTATAATCTTGACATTTGCTATGTCAGATAATACATTAAGTATATATTGCAATTTGTAACATGAGAGCATGAGAGGCTCTCTTTTTTATTTTTACTGGATCAGAAAAGCTGTTCCGCCAAGTTTAATGCACGTGGGATCACGAGGCGGGAGAAAGTGGGTTAGCGAGGGTTCATTCGGAGTCCCAACACGCGGGAGTAGGATGGAGAAAAACAGCGGGAGGCTTTGCCCTAAAAAAATCCTACTCTTACGAAAAAAGGGTGAGAGAGAACAGAGAGAGAAAGTGTATTTGATACCATCTCCAGAGAGGGAGGCAGCGGTCAGAAGCCAGCTGACGTCAGCCAAGAGAAGGGCCGACCGCGCGGGACCCCTTCCTAGCTCCGCTGATCGGAGGGTCGAGAGGCTTTCACAGGCAGAAGTGGGTGCTGGAGTCTGTTAGTGCAACTGCGACTGTAACACTTTAATGGAACGGACTTTAATCCAAGTTTTCAAGGCTGTGAACCTCCATTTCTTATAAAGCCTAATATGCAGGAGTGAGTCATTAGGGCCAAATGTCAGAGGAATGTGGTCGTGTCGGGGCATGTGTATGCATCGTAAGTCCCTGTCTGAGCATGTGCATGCATGTGTGTGCGAGTGTGTGTGTGAGTGGGCTCCACTGGGCAGTAAGTAGAGGGACATTACAGCCATTATAAATGACATTTCCCACTAAAGGTCACCGTTTTCTGGTCTGTCGAGGCTGCGATGATGGCTGTTAATTTGATTGGCTGACTGGACAGCGATCACCTCTCATGCGAGGAATGGGAGACAAAGGGAGGGAGGGGTGAGGGGGTGGGGGGGCAAGAGGAGAGGAGAGTTTGAGATATTAGAAGAGTTAGCAGGAAGGAAGAGGAGGAGAGTAAGTGAGCGAGACCGCCGGTGATTGATTCGATGTTGCCCTCTGTGGCACCGCTCAGGCGAGACAGAACCTCCAATAAAGCTCGTTTGACGACCCTCTTCGATAAAGGGTACACTCATCCCCCCCCCCCCCCACTGTCTCTCCGTTCTACCTTTTCCTTCCCGCATCTACTCTCTGTTTCCCCCTCGTCTCACGTCGCGCCATTATAATATTTCAATAGCGCGTCGGGTTTATGGGTCAGAGGGGGCTCACAAATCACACATGAACACGTAATCCATTTCACAAGGCAGGTTAATGGTAAATTTAGGGATATGCACGGACTCTGGGCAGGTTCTACGGACAAACACGACGACAAGCAAACCAATGACAAATGTCTCCAAGAAGACGAAAGTATCCTGATTGGAGAGAGGCCTTACCGGAGCCAATCCACAACAAAGACAACTTATGGTGGCTTGGATTCAGAAGGAAACAAAACGAAGAAAGAAAATAATAAGACAAAAAGGAGCACGATGATGATGATGATTAACAAGTAAATGAACCACAGTAAAGACATGACTAATGATGTGAAATATATTAAAATCTACTCAGCCTTTCGTGTGCTCAAAAAGACAAACGAAAGTCATTAAAAAGGAGGAGGAAATAAAATGCGTCACGATCTAAATTGTCTTTGATTTTTCATCAAGGATTTTTTGATTGAGCACAGTTCAGGGGGAGCTCAGTTGGTTTCATGAAACTTGCTTCCCACTTGGAAGACCAACTCAAAACTGCTGTCTTTAAATATACATCGGCAGTAATATTTAAATGATAAATCAAACGGGGTAAGCCACTCCGTGATTTACATGACAGATTCCGAGCTGTGCCTCAGTCGGGCGTCGAGCTAAAGCCACGGCACACTGTTTGAATTAGACTGGGCCTTTTGTCTTGAGCTGCACTGGAACGAGAAATAACACAATCCTGATTGGTTAGCTTAGTAGACAGAGTTCAGTGGAAATGAAGTCATATTTCGTTCTCTGAGGGCAATGTGAGTAATGACATGACTGGGAAAAATAACATGATGGATTCAACGAGGAGCATCTTGAACTGATGTGGGACAAAAGTCTGCTTCGTGTTGCTGCTAACATACAAAAAAAAAGGACAATGGACATTCGATTTCAAGGAATAGTACTTGAGGAATACACTTCTTTGCGTCCTTGCTGAGAGTTTGATGAGAAGATGGATGCCACTCTTAACTCTGTGAAATAATTATGAAGTTGGAGCCAGCAGCCTATCAGATTGGTTTAGCATAAAGACTAGAAACAGCTAGCCTGGATGTGTTTAAAGGTAACAAAATATAAAGTTTGCTATTAACATGTTGTTTGTTTGACCATCTAAAAAAAGTGTAAAAACAAAAATTTGCAATTTTACATGAGGTTGACAACAGGACTATTTCTCTCCCGGCTAAGAAATAGTCTGGCACATAATCTCCCGTAAATCCAACGCTTGTTGTTTTTACTCTTTGGTTAATGCGCAAACAAATGGGATATACTATATATATATATATATATATATATATATATATATATATACTATATTAGTTTCAAAGTTGGTCTTGGAAGGATAATTTTGTTGGCAACTATTAAGTCTGAAAAGTGAAGCCAATGCAGAAGTGCCTTAAACTTGCATTCTCTCTACTGGCCAGCAGGGGGCGACTCCTCCGGTTGCAAAAAAGAAGTCTGATTGTATGGAAGTCTATGAAAAAATGTCTCTACTTCTCTCTTGATTTATTACCTCAGTAAACATTGTAAACATCAGTTTATGGTCTCAATCTCTAGTTTCAAGTCTTCTTCAATACAGCATGATGTTCATTTAGTAAGTTATGGTCCATTTAGAATAAAATAGACCATAAAGCAGGGTATGCTTTAGGGCGGGGCTACCTTGTGATTGACACACAGCGTTCTACAGCTACCACAGCGTTCTACAGTCTGAGATTTGTCCGTGTTTCACCTCACAGTGTGTTTGCACCTCATGAAAGTTCCTAGGAGCCTAACTTAGCTCAACCCTCCTGTTTCACTGGTTGCATAATAACAGGTGTGTAACGGCCAAAAACCAAGATGGCGTCGACCA